GAAACAATGTAAATAGTGTAAATAGTTACAATACCTCATCTCAGAAATATAGACTGTGAATATGGCAATAAAGATGAGGACAACAGTCTAAATAGTGTAAATAGTTACAATACCTCATCTCAGAAATATAGACTGTGAATATGGCAATAAAGATGAGGACAACAGTCTAAATAGTGTAAATAGTTACAATACCTCATCTCAGAAATATAGACTGTGAATATGGCAATAAAGATGAGGACAACAGTCCAAACAATGTAAATAGTGTAAATAGTTGCAATACCTCATCTCAGAAATATAGACTGTGAATATGGCAATAAAGATGAGGACAACAGTCGAAACAATGTAAATAGTGTAAATAGTTACAATATCTCATCTCAGAAATATAGACTGTGAATATGGCAATAAAGATGAGGACAACAGTCCAAACAATGTAAATAGTGTAAATAGTTACAATATCTCATCTCAGAAATATAGACTGTGAATATGGCAATAAAGATGAGGACAATAGTCCGAACAATGTAAATAAAAATAGTTACAATACTCATCTCAGAAATATAGACTGTGAATATGGCAATAAAGATGAGGACAACAGTCTAAATAGTGTAAATAGTTACAATACCTCATCTCAGAAATATAGACTGTGAATATGGCAATAAAGATGAGGACAACAGTCGAAAAATGTAAATAGTGTAAATAGTTACAATACCTCATCTCAGAAATATAGACTGTGAATATGGCAATAAAGATGAGGACAACAGTCGAAACAATGTAAATAGTGTAAATAGTTACAATACCTCATCTCAGAAATATAGACTGTGAATATGGCAATAAAGATGAGGACAACAGTCTAAATAGTGTAAATAGTTACAATACCTCATCTCAGTAATATAGACTGTGAATATGGCAATAAAGATGAGGACAACAGTCTAAATAGTGTAAATAGTTACAATACCTCATCTCAGAAATATAGACTGTGAATATGGCAATAAAGATGAGGACAACAGTCCAAACAATGTAAATAGTGTAAATAGTTACAATATCTCATCTCAGAAATATAGACTGTGAATATGGCAATAAAGATGAGGACAACAGTCTAAATAGTGTAAATAGTTACAATACCTCATCTCAGAAATATAGACTGTGAATATGGCAATAAAGATGAGGACAACAGTCCAAACAATGTAAATAGTGTAAATAGTTACAATACCTCATCTCAGAAATATAGACTGTGAATATGGCAATAAAGATTAGGACAACAGTCCAAACAATGTAAATAGTGTAAATAGTTACAATATCTCATCTCAGAAATATAGACTGTGAATATGGCAATAAAGATGAGGACAACAGTCTAAATAGTGTAAATAGTTACAATACCTCATCTCAGAAATATAGACTGTGAATATGGCAATAAAGATGAGGACAACAGTCCAAACAATGTAAATAGTGTAAATAGTTACAATATCTCATCTCAGAAATATAGACTGTGAATATGGCAATAAAGATGAGGACAACAGTCTAAATAGTGTAAATAGTTACAATACCTCATCTCAGAAATATAGACTGTGAATATGGCAATAAAGATGAGGACAACAGTCCAAACAATGTAAATAGTGTAAATAGTTACAATACCTCATCTCAGAAATATAGACTGTGAATATGGCAATAAAGATGAGGACAACAGTCCAAACAATGTAAATAGTGTAAATAGTTGCAATACCTCATCTCAGAAATATAGACTGTGAATATGGCAATAAAGATGAGGACAACAGTCCAAACAATGTAAATAGTGTAAATACTTACAATACCTCATCTCAGAAATATAGACTGTGAATATGGCAATAAAGATGAGGACAACAGTCTAAATAGTGTAAATAGTTACAATACCTCATCTCAGAAATATAGACTGTGAATATGGCAATAAAGATGAGGACAACAGTCCAAACAATGTAAATAGTGTAAATAGTTACAATATCTCATCTCAGAAATATAGACTGTGAATATGGCAATAAAGATGAGGACAACAGTCCAAACAATGTAAATAGTGTAAATACTTACAATACCTCATCTCAGAAATATAGACTGTGAATATGGCAATAAAGATGAGGACAACAGTCTAAATAGTGTAAATAGTTACAATACCTCATCTCAGAAATATAGACTGTGAATATGGCAATAAAGATGAGGGACAACAGTCCAAACAATGTAAATAGTGTAAATAGTTACAATACCTCATCTCAGAAATATAGACTGTGAATATGGCAATAAAGATGAGGACAACAGTCCAAACAATGTAAATAGTGTAAATAGTTGCAATACCTCATCTCAGAAATATAGACTGTGAATATGGCAATAAAGATGAGGACAACAGTCCGAACAATGTAAATAGTGTAAATAGTTACAATACCTCATCTCAGAAATATAGACTGTGAATATGGAAATAAAAGATGAGGACAACAGTCCAAACAATGTAAATAGTGTAAATAGTTACAATACCTCATCTCAGAAATATAGACTGTGAATATGGCAATAAAGATGAGGACAACAGTCCAAACAATGTAAATAGTGTAAATAGTTACAATACCTCATCTCAGAAATATAGACTGTGAATATGGCAATAAAGATGAGGACAACAGTCCAAACAATGTAAATAGTGTAAATAGTTGCAATACCTCATCTCAGAAATATAGACTGTGAATATGGCAATAAAGATGAGGACAACAGTCGAAACAATGTAAATAGTGTAAATAGTTACAATACCTCATCTCAGAAATATAGACTGTGAATATGGCAATAAAGATGAGGACAACAGTCCAAACAATGTAAATAGTGTAAATAGTTACAATACCTCATCTCAGAAATATAGACTGTGAATATGGCAATAAAGATGAGGACAACAGTCCAAACAATGTAAATAGTGTAAATAGTTGCAATACCTCATCTCAGAAATATAGACTGTGAATATGGCAATAAAGATGAGGACAACAGTCGAAACAATGTAAATAGTGTAAATAGTTACAATACCTCATCTCAGAAATATAGACTGTGAATATGGCAATAAAGATGAGGACAACAGTCCAAACAATGTAAATAGTGTAAATAGTTACAATACCTCATCTCAGAAATATAGACTGTGAATATGGCAATAAAGATGAGGACAACAGTCCAAACAATGTAAATAGTGTAAATAGTTGCAATACCTCATCTCAGAAATATAGACTGTGAATATGGCAATAAAGATGAGGACAACAGTCGAAACAATGTAAATAGTGTAAATAGTTACAATACCTCATCTCAGAAATATAGACTGTGAATATGGCAATAAAGATGAGGACAACAGTCCAAACAATGTAAATAGTGTAAATAGTTGCAATACCTCATCTCAGAAATATAGACTGTGAATATGGCAATAAAGATGAGGACAACAGTCCAAACAATGTAAATAGTGTAAATAGTTACAATACCTCATCTCAGAAATATAGACTGTGAATATGGCAATAAAGATGAGGACAACAGTCCAAACAATGTAAATAGTGTAAATAGTTACAATACCTCATCTCAGAAATATAGACTGTGAATATGGCAATAAAGATGAGGACAACAGTCCAAACAATGTAAATAGTGTAAATAGTTGCAATACCTCATCTCAGAAATATAGACTGTGAATATGGCAATAAAGATGAGGACAACAGTCAAACAATGTAAATAGTGTAAATAGTTACAATACCTCATCTCAGAAATATAGACTGTGAATATGGCAATAAAGATGAGGACAACAGTCCAAACAATGTAAAATAGTGTAAATAGTTGCAATACCTCATCTCAGAAATATAGACTGTGAATATGGCAATAAAGATGAGGACAACAGTCGAAACAATGTAAATAGTGTAAATAGTTACAATACCTCATCTCAGAAATATAGACTGTGAATATGGCAATAAAGATGAGGACAACAGTCCAAACAATGTAAATAGTGTAAATAGTTACAATACCTCATCTCAGAAATATAGACTGTGAATATGGCAATAAAGATGAGGACAACAGTCCAAACAATGTAAATAGTGTAAATAGTTGCAATACCTCATCTCAGAAATATAGACTGTGAATATGGCAATAAAGATGAGGACAACAGTCGAAACAATGTAAATAGTGTAAATAGTTACAATACCTCATCTCAGAAATATAGACTGTGAATATGGCAATAAAGATGAGGACAACAGTCCAAACAATGTAAATAGTGTAAATAGTTACAATACCTCATCTCAGAAATATAGACTGTGAATATGGCAATAAAGATGAGGACAACAGTCCAAACAATGTAAATAGTGTAAATAGTTGCAATACCTCATCTCAGAAATATAGACTGTGAATATGGCAATAAAGATGAGGACAACAGTCGAAACAATGTAAATAGTGTAAATAGTTGCAATACCTCATCTCAGAAATATAGACTGTGAATATGGCAATAAAGATGAGGACAACAGTCGAAACAATGTAAATAGTGTAAATAGTTACAATACCTCATCTCAGAAATATAGATTGTGAATATGGCAATAAAGATGAGGACAACAGTCCAAACAATGTAAATAGTGTAAATAGTTGCAATACCTCATCTCAGAAATATAGACTGTTAATTTGGCAATAAAGATGAGGACAACAGTCCGAACAATGTAAATAGTGTAAATAGTAACTTTGCTGTCACTTAATATTCACACAAACACACATACAGAAATTTCTCAAAATCTCTCATATATAAATAATAAAATATCTGACTATTGTTCTCATCTATATTGCCATATTCATGACATTTCAGCTGTTGTACACTCTGGCCTTCTTCAGGTGATTGGGATTTCAAAGTGAACCCTTTATTTTATCCACTGGGGTAGATTGTTCTAGTTCCACATGCCGCACTTCTTCTGAACAATGTAAGTAATGTAAATAATTACAATACTACATCTCAGAAATATAGATATATATTGAATCTGCAGAAATTTTGTACTTACGTCAATTTTTCCTTCAACAACACTTTCTGAGTTTAGGCGCACATACCCCTGACGTAGTTGTCGCTGGATAAAGATGCTGTTCCAGTGACCAATTTGGATATGGCCAACACTTCGTATAACAGCCATTCCTTTGCCACAGTCAAACCTGGGAAGGACAAAAAAAGCTTTTTTTTAAAACATGAAGATAGGAGTCCATAAATTTCAAAAAGAAAAAGTTGTATTCAAAATAAATACCCAGTATTGCACACATGCACACATGTACATATGGAAATACGAATGTTCCAAAAGCTTCTGGGACTTTTTTGCAATTTATATTTGCATATATGTACACACACATGCACACACAAATGCATACTGATCTATCCTCGATTTATCAGGCATCTCAACTGCAGTCATTTTCTCACAGATGTGATGTGGCTTCCCTCTGTCTTTTCTACAAATATTTTCATGGCAACTGCTCTGATGAGCTACTTCCACTGATATCCCATCTGCATGAATTTAAGTGTGCTACTACATTGACATCTCGGTCCCACCATTTCACTGTTGAAACAATTAAATGTAACCACCTCTTCTACTCCAACAGCTTCTTTTCTCGCACTTCCAACCAGTGGAAACTCCCTTCCTCCTACTTGCTTCCCTCATAGCTATAATCTTCAAATATTCAAATGTAATGTCAATCGACATCTTCTGATGACTTGATCCTGATCCCTGTCCTTCTCTATGTCCTTTCCTCAAACACCCCTCTTTATTCTTACTCTCGCTCTCTGTAACCCCTTGCATAGTGGCACTCCTGTCTTGCTTGGCGCGAAATTCTTAAAAAAAAAAAAAAAAAAAAAAAACATTATCAACACCACCACAAAACACTAAACAAAATTACAACAGTAAAACAGATATAGAAATATACAAAATAAATTGCACCAAATGCCAACAACATACACTGATAAAACATACAGAAATCTTAGAAAAGGGCTATATGAGCATCACAGGGACCCTATTGCCCTGCACGAGAGACAACTGCCCTGCACGAGAGACAACTGCCCTATGTGAGAGACGACTGCCCTGCATGAGAGGTGACTACCCTGCACGAGAGACAACTGCCCTATGTGAGAGACGAGTGCCCTGCACGAGAGACGACTGCTCTGCATGACAGACGACTGCCCTGCATGAGAGAAGACTGCCCTGTTCCAGCGGGTCCTTTTTGGCATTATGGCTACAAACACTTCAGACATACTAGTAATTTAACATAAAACCACAATTTTACCCACCACCTGACAAAAAAATGCCAATCTGTTTAAAAGAGAAAAGAATTTACTTATAAGAAAATACACTGAAAGTGAATTGATTTCACAATCCTCTATAGTCAGCCATAGACTGGGCTTTTATACAATATTACCCATTCTATAGGAACTAATAAAGAAAAAAAAAAACAAATCTGCTTAGATTGGGTTAAATTTCAAATACAGAAGATGTTAATGGCTTCAGTATGAAAAATAACTCTAATAAGAATTTTTATTACTTCTACCCTATATTTCAATGCTCTTTTCTCATGAATGGTGTTGTACTCTGTTCCCATTAGATCTCTTTCTTACTCAATCTATGTCAGTTTGATGTGAGTGCTAGAAAGCAAAACACAAAACAAAAAAATAGTCTTCTGTGCAGAGGCTCCAAGCATCACATCCAGTTCACAAAACAAATTCTTTCACAAATCTAAAATACAATAACCAATCATGAACATTTCCATGGAAAAATGATTACTCAGCCACCAGATTTGCTTATAAGAAAGCTCCTTGTAAACAGCTGATGCAGTAGCAAGCTGAGGGGCCACCTGTTCACACTGGCATACTGTCATTATCACCACCATCATCGCCTCTCTCGTCACCACCATAACTTTGCTCATGCTTCACTGATCCCACCTGACTCTTCACACACAGTAGCAGCCTAAGAGGCTACCTGTTAAAACTGGTACACTGTTCTCCTCACCATTGTGACCTCACCCATGTTTACCTAATCTCACGTAAATCTTCCCACTAGCAGCCTCTGTATTGGCAAAGTCAGATTCATGACTTCACCTGACTCTTCATGCTTGCACCCTCTGTATCAATAAAATCAGCTGCATGACCAGGCCTCTCTTGTCTTCACCACTGTGACCCCATTTTTGTTGGTCTCCCATTCAATCAGAATCCAATAGAGACGTTTCGCTTGGGCCTTTACCACAAATCATCCCTACCTTCAACAAGCAGTTCAGCTTCAACACCTCAGCCTAATCCCATAACCACTGGCCCATTAACACTTCTCCAGTTTTCATTTCACCCTGAAGAAAAGTGTATGCCAACCTGCCCATGACATCCCACTTAACTTCACTAATTCACTCCTGACCTCTCTCCTGATACCAACTGTGACCTTGGCCAATCAACCCAACAAATTAGTAAACAGCCAACATTACTGTCAGCACTATTCCTAATCACTTCCCTTATCAACGGCAACTAAAGAACTACATATCAACAATTTTGTCACCTTTTCACACAAATATATATATATATATATATATATATATATATATATATATATATATTCTGAAATTTGATCACTTCTTGTTTGTTCTTTCCTTTGCAATCATACACTCATTAAAACAATGGGTTGGTCTCTCATTCTGGCCTGATTGATTCATTCATTTTTATGGCTTATCAACCCTTTGCAGGTTATATAAAGCCAGAAAATCTTTCAGATGTAAGAATTTTTCGAAATAATAATGGTTTAGTAATATGTCTTACTAATTAACCCATAGCTAGAGGGAGAAGAGGTGGATTCATACTTTTCCAAAGGGTATTTGTGTGTAAGTGAATATAATGAACCTGACTGGAATTGGAACTTAGCTCTCCGATTAAAAATTCTGAGTCATTATCCATTACACCACCTGCATATCTGAGCTTACCTTCCCAAGCGGTCACCCATCTAGGTACTGATCAGGTGTGATGTTGCTTAAATTCAGTGACTGTATAGAAACTGGTGTTTCAAAGTGATGCAGTTATAAGCCTCCTTCAAGCCTGAAGACACCTACTAATCTGTGAAACATAGTTGAATAGCTTTTCTACTATCATATCTCCATACATCATTGTATTTATCTGAATGTATTCATTTTTATTACTGTTCATATCTATGACAAACACATTGTGTAAGCGGCAGAAGTGATGGCCAAATTGAGCAAGATAGTATAAGACAACAATCATCTGACATTGTATGCCAAACTAAAAGTATTCCAGGTATGTGTTAGTAGTATTCTGCTTTACGGCAATGAAAGCTGGATGACATACATCAAGCAGGAAAACTGTCTAGAAAACTTCCATCTCTGCTACCTACAATGTATCCTTGGCATTACATTGAGAAACAAATTTACCAAGACTGCTGTGCTGGAGTAAGCAGACTCCTGGAGCATGTATCTTCTCCTATGTCAATGTTGTCTTTGATGGCTGGGTAATGTTCATGACATCTTATATGGTGAGCTGGCCTCAGGACACCATTTAGTAGGTTCACCACGCTATGTTTCAAGAACATTTTCAAGAGGGACCTGAAACATCAACACTGGTAACTGGGAACAGTGAATAGAAGACTGCAGGCCCCCCAGAATATTCAAGAGTCATGAAGGGTGGTAAATAGTGAAACCAACTGCTGGAGATCAGTAAACACAGGAAGCAGAGAGAAAGAGAGAGCAATCTCAGACCTTCATTCCACACTCCAACTTCATCTGCCATACCTGTAGAAGAGAGTGCCATGCAAAGATTGGACAGTCAAGCCATTTCAGATGTTGTTCACAAAAAAGATTGAATTTTGTCCAAACAGGGTGCTACAATTTTCTCATGAGATAAATGGATGTCTATTACTATTTATCACAAGTTATCATTTCAATTTGACTGTATCTATCAATCTTAATATATGTATGAGGAGATGTTGAAAAGTTCTGGCCCATCATTTTCCAAAATTTGGCCAAACATCATACTACTGAGAGGAAGGGCTTACTGATGGGTTGAGAACTTTTCTGCACCCCCTCATATTCAACTCATTATCTAGTTAGGTATCTATCTCACTGCCCAACCCTATTTATGGCATTGGACAGATATGGGGAAGTGAGTCAGGCTGAGAATTTTTGAACACTATTCAAGGGGTGCTGAAAGGCAATGGTAAATAAACATTTACCATTGCCTGACGAGGCACAACTTAGTACTGAAACATGACAGATATTGTGTAGCGATTTTTAATGTTTTTGTTTTAATCCCCCGTAATAAATAATATTGAGCTCTACTCTGTATTGAGCCCTTTTTTCTAAAAATTAAATGATACAGACATTTCATTAGTTCTCATCTTATATCTGATATATATATATATATATATATATATATATATATATATATATATATATATATATATATATATGTGTGTGTGTGAAAAGTGTGTGTGTATATATATATATATATATATATATATATATATATATATATATGTGTGTGTGCGTAATATATTATATGTTATTATTTATATATTATATGCTATTATACTACTATTACCATATTAGTCTGCAATAATTATTAACGTAAATTACTGCTGCCTCCTCCCAGCAAATTTAAATGCCACCAAATAAAAACTAATAAAAATTATGAACTGCAATTTCTACCAGTTACATATTCACAGTCATCAAAAACAAGCAAATAATCAGCTTAAAATAATAACAAATCAGCCTTAAAAAATTAAAAATAACAGCAATTTCTACCTATCATAATTTTACACAGACCTCACCACATGTATATACATGTGTGCAAGGATTTATTATCCAGCGAAAGAATAGAGAAATGACCTGATTGTTGACATGTCTACATCCACAAGAAAAATAGATACACATCTGATCTTTGCAATTCAACAATCAAATGCGTATGTATGTAGACAACAGCACACATATACATACATATGTCAAGTCCAATACTGTCCACACATATTTATGTTTGTGTAAGCGTCAGTGGGCGAGTGTGTATGTCTGCATACCTCAATGGGTGTATTGACATGCATGTATGTTTGCATTAGCATGAGTGACATCACGACAACGATTTCCCTCCTACTTCCACAATAACACCAATACACGCAACCTATATAAATCCAAAATTTAGAAAAATTAATCTGTTTGTCTGATGATTGCAAGAGCGTGAAGAGGTGAATATAAGTAACTGGTGATTAAATGATTTTGAAGGAACTTTATAAACAAAGTGTAACCTCTTTTTCAAAAATTAAAGGGATGGGAGACATAAGGTCAAAATTAAAATTAGACTTGTGGGTATATCTTGATTAACCAATTAAATGTCAGATCTATGATAAATAGAAAAGTAAGCTCTATATATATATTTGTGTATATTTAGGCAGCAATTTTTCATTAATGCATTTTTCATTAAATAATGTAGACAAGTTTTGTCTATTTATTTTAAGTAAGTTCCTTTCATTTTGTCACAACTATACTTAAACATGAAAACAATAAGCAAAAATTAAAAATTCTTGAAGCTTTATACATAAAACAGTTGAAACCTAACCTGAACAAAATAAACTATGGAATCTCCACAAATATTCTTAAATGCCTATAATTAATAACAGAAGCTATTGGTTTATACCAACGGCTTCCCATACTTAATACTTCTCATTTTCACTCTCGCGTGGTGATGTGTGATGTCACAAGCTGCGACGCAATTTTCGCTTCCGCATCTCGTATATACGAGTTTGTTGTTACTTGGAAATTTTCATGCAGCAAGGGCGGACTATCATTGTTGTTTCGTATGCATGTTGTTTGATTTATTGAAATTGTCATCTTTGATAATGGCTTGTGTAAGCCGAAAGCTTAGATTGGATTTAAACATGTATCAATATGGTGTTTTCCTTTTGTCTTTCAATGGTAATGTGATTGAGCTTATCAGATAATATGAAAGGAACTTACTTAAAATAAATAGGCAAAACTTGTCTATATTATTTAATGAAACATGCATTAATATGTATATTTATATATATATATATATATATATATATATTATTTTTATTATAAGAGATTACAAGAAAAACATGTTGAAATCGCTACACAAAAGCTTTCATGTTTCAATACTATGACTGTATTTCTTCAGGTGATGGTAAGAAACTGGTGATTAAATGATTTTTAAGGAAGTTTCAAGAGCAGTGTTAC